TAACCTCCTATAATCAATTAATTTTGGGATGTTCATGTGGAAAATGCCTTTTCTGTAAATGAGTTTGTGATGCACCACTGTTAAACTATACAAAACATTCATCTTTTCACTAGCTGTATTTAATAGTGAAATTAAACATTCCAGCAAGCAAGATTCTGCTGAAGATTATCCAAAAATAACTGGAACAGCACATCAACAGAGAACTGCCAGAAGTGCAGGCTGGATTTAGAAGGGGTCGTGGTACTAGGGATATTGTAGCTAATGTTAGATGGATCTTGGCTGAAAGCAGGAATGTCTATCTATCTGTCTCATTGACTATGCAAAGGCGTTTTGACTGTGTGGATCAAAACAAACTGTGGCTGATTCTGACAAGAATGGAAATCCCAGAACACTTGATCGTTCTAATGCGAAACCTATACTTGGACCAGCAGGCAGTCATCAGAACAGAGGAAGGAAGTACTGCATGGTTCAAAATTGGGAAGGGTGTACTTCAGGGTACTCTATCTCCATAATTTTTCAACATATATGCAGAACAGATTATCTGGGAGGCTGGGCTGTATGGGAAGTGTGGCATCAGGAATGGAGGAACATTCATCAACAATCTGTATTATGCAGATGACACAACACTGCTTGCTGAAACTGAGGAAGGCCTGAAGCGCTTGCTGCAGAAGGTCAAGGACTCCAACCTTTGATATGGATTGAGGTTCCATATCAAGAAAACAAATATTCTCACCACTGGGCCATTTGGCAGCATCAGGATGGATGGTGAAGAGGTTGAGATTGTTAACAGATTTAGTTTGCTTGGTTCCACAGTCAACACTGTTGGCACCAGCAGCTAGGAAATGAAAAGACGCACTGCAATAGGAAAATCTGCTATTAGGGACCTCTCCAAAGTACTTAAGAGCAACCGTGTCACTCTGGAGACTAAAGTGTGCATGATACAGGTCATAGTCTTTACAATCAGTTGCTGTGCATCAGAGAGTTGGACAATGATTAGGGAGGACAGAAGGAGAATTGATGCCTTTCAGCTGTGGTGCTGGAGAAGAGTACTGAATATACCATGGGCTGCTAGGAAAACAAACAGGTTCAACCTACAGAGGGTTAAATCAGGATGTTCCTTGGAGACAAGGATTCTGAAGCTTTTCCTGACAATTTGGACATGTTACAAGGAGGGACCAATCCTTGGAGAAGGACGTCATGGGAGGGTAGAGGGACAGCGCAGGAGAGGAAAACCCTCTATGAGGTGGATTGATTCAGTGACTGGGGTAATCTGGGTAAGTGTGTCAGAAGGAGACAGTGAGATTGGCACAAGATGGAGGAGGGTTTAAGGCTGTTGTCCATAGGGTCACTATAAGTTGCAGGCAACTTGACGGCACACAGCAACAACAACAACATATAATAGTGAGTTTACTTACCTGAATATTTCCTTACCCAGACTCTCTGACTTACTAAAAAAAATTAAGTCCCAATCAAAAAGAAAACAGCACACCAAAGAGGGTACAATGTTAGCTTCTGAAATTTTATTCCTTTTTAATACATACATCTTACAAACAAAAACCCTTTAACACCACACACAATTCCAAAACCAAATGCTTCAATTTTATCCACATTCTTTAACTATTTACACTGTCTCCCCTCAACGAAGTGCAATCTAAGACATCTTGACAAGAAATCTTTATTGACAATTTATTTGGGGGCTGCTTTCTGGAATGACAACAGGTCAAGAGTAGATCAGGAGAACTGGGTTAGTCAACATCCTACTGTAGGAACCAAAACAGTGAAATTAGAGCATTTTTTCCCCACCTCCTTCCCAACATTCTCCTGAAATTACCCCAGGGCTGCTCTCTGGGGCTAAACAGAGAGGCAGACTGGAGTTACTGATCTGTGCACAGGAGCAGAGACTGCATTGTAGGCACTGGTCGTGCCAGACTAAACAAAAGATTTCAGCAAGTCAGATTTAATGGCTTATTTCTTATGACCAGTATACCTGATAGTTCTAAGAGGCAATGCCTATTCTTTCTTGATGAATTGATGCCTCCAAAGAGATGTGAAAATATCTTTAATTCATAAAAGAAACCTACCCCAAACTGGAAATTAAAGGATGTCTGGAGAAAGGTCTTTCTTAATAAGGTGGGGGTGGTGACTGACTCGCCTTCATCTCCTAGTATGAAGACTACTTCAGAAGCAACTGGAAGAAAGCTAGGAGCTAAGGCGGCCTGAGGAAATGATCAGACATCAGAATTGTCTTCTCACCACTTTAGTTAACTGAGCAGATAGTTTTATTTGCCTAAATATACAGTTCTTAAAAATAAATGTTATAAAAATGTTAAGACTACATGAAGAATCAATTTGAAATTATTAAGAGTGGTTCATATTATTGAACAGATCATCAGAAAAGCAGAAACTGGATCTCTTGGGTGACTAACATCCTTTAATGTATTAGCCACTGCAAAAATAATAATCTTTCTTGACATATTCCAATTCCCATCAAGGTCCTTGGAGCAAATTACTTTCAGAAAGCTTGGGGAAACCACTAACGTCAGCAGATTTCCAAAATAAGGTTTATCTTCACAGTGTTGCAGACTCAGTTTGATTTTATCCTCAAGACAGCCAAATCTTCCCTTTTAAACAAGAGTTTAATGTCTTAAAGGCAAAACGATATTCTCAGGTGTGATACCTATGCTCTGCTCTTGTGGCCGCATCTACAGTATCTGAATTTTATCTTTAAAATAAAGGCCTCAAGAAAATTCTACCCAGATACAGTGAAATCTCATCACGCTGGTTTTTTTCCAGGGGGTAGAAACATAATAAGGGAAAATTTTAACTTCAGTGCACGTGATACTGACATAAGTTCTGGACTGAGGACTTCACTGAATGCAGTTTTAAAGGAAAACTTCAAGCTTTGAATAATATAAGCAGGTTTCACTATAGAAATTTAGTGGGGTTAGAGAACAATATCACAAATATTTTAACACTCATTTTAAATTCAGAAGTAAATTCCAAAAGGTACTCTAAAGGCTGGAGAATTTCACCAATTCTTCTATTTGGGCACATTAGAGAATCAGTAAGAGCTAATTTACAAGTACAGCTCTGTGCATTAAGGAGACATTTGCAAGTGCTCTCTATCCTGCACTTTCCTTTTAGTTACATCAAACACTGGCAGCCCAATAATGATGTTCTGTTCTTAGGGGCAGAGTTGAGAATTTCCCTAACCACATAACAGTTCTCAGATCATCAAGCCCCAAGCTAGGTGCAGCAAGCCAGTGACAACCACCCAAGTGCAGAGATGAAGAATATTAGTTGAGGAACTGGTTCTTTAATGCTTTTGCTGTTTCAAACAAAACAACTATTTCATGTAATAAAGATGAAAGCAGCAGCAACGCCTAAAATATTTCTGTTTGGAAAAACCAGTTTCTCTTAAAAAAATAACAGTATGAGCCAAATAAATAATAAAAAGTCTAAATTTGGCTTCCCAATAAAAAGTGGTATTTTCCGTATTCTCTTAGCAAGTATATGCATACTACAGCTGAAATTACCAAGTACATTTTTGAGAAGTTCAGTTCCAATTGCATAAATGAGGGAAAGGTAAATGTAAATCAATAAAAGCCTAACTCTTGGAAAGCTCAATGATCTGACAGTGTCTATATATTAACATCTTTTTCTTCTGTAGAAAGATATAATGGAATGAATGAACTCATTTGCTAACTGAAGGGCTGCAAGTTCAAGTCCACTTAGAGAAACCTCAGAAAAAGGTCGGTCAATCTCCTTTTTTAAAACAATCAGCCAATGAAAATCCTCCGGAGTCCTACTCTGAGACACAAAGGGTGGCCAGAGTTAGAAAAGATTCAGTGGCAACTAGATAAGGTCTAATGTGAATATTTAGAAGATAAAATCTTTTAGACATGCTGTTTGCATTAATTTCCATGTTTTTCCAAAATGAAACACTCTTAACAACAAATATTAAAATTCTTTTTCTTATCGGTCCCTCAAAGCAACATAGAGATTTCCTTTTCCCAACTTGGGCAAATTGTTAAACTCAGTACTAAATGGTGATACAAGATAGCCATAAACAATTGAGGGAAACAGGAATGAGCAGCTCTGACTGGTTTCGAAACCCACCAATTAGGGGCTATGGCTGTTGGGTTCACCTGTGAGAAGAATCTGACAACACACAGCACACTCTCAGAGCAGCCTGTACAAACTGTTACCGCCCACACTACGGTATTTTCATGCTTTCCCTTCCAGACCAATTTTGAACCAACTTCAAAGACACAACTCAAATGACAGATGTGTGGATTTTTATTCTCTCGCATCCGTGTGTGTCATTTCTGAATTTCCTTAATAAACTCTGCTATAGGTCATTTACCTAAAAATATTTACCCCGTGAATAGCCTCCCTCTGTCTTACAGTTTGGATCCTGCCGTCAGTGTAGAGAACTGACGGTTACACCACCAGTGGATGCATATGGCGCTCAGGCCCACTTGGAAGGCATCTATCTGTCAGTGCGGGTGATTTCACGTCAGTGTGTGCTAGAGCACTAAGCCAGGGCAGACAAACACTTAGATCGCCAGGGACAGACATCTACTTGACACGCATTATTCCGAGGTCCTGGGCAGAGCTTCCCGTCAGCGTTCAGACAGTTTATGCTTCAGTGAGATTTTCCTCTCAACTCCTCTCCTGCTCCTAATCACAGAGTCCCTTTCCTGGATTCCTCCCGCCCTCCCCGCCACCTTAAAGCTGCATCAGGGCCTCTTGCCGATGGTGAGCCACCCTCCAAACCCACAGGACTGGCCCTATGGGCTCTGGTCACGACCACAGACAAACACTTGGGAATCAGAGAGCGCAAGGGGCAGGCCCCCGTTTTAGTGGCACGCTTACACAAAGTAACTCTCCTGAAAATTAGAAAAAGAAATTAACGTCACAGAATGCTTCCCTAGAAAAACGATATGTAATAAAGTAAGAATATCAATAAAATAGCTATTACTAAAGCAAAGCTTTCATCAATAAGCTTCGAGGACTTTGAAGGAGGAGAATGGCTTCACAAAATGGTAGTCCAGGTTGCCACAATGTGGACACTGCTGGACGTTGCTGTACTCGGAGAAGTACTGCATCCCGATCCGCACGTCGATCACCGGCTTCCCGCAGTGCTTGCAGTTCAGGCGGGCCTGGGGACAAGACAGCACGTAAGCCAGATACCCCCTCTGCTTCTAAAAGCATGCACACAATAACGCAAGACAGTTCTAGCCGGGAAACTGATCAGGAATTTAGTAAAATGGTCCCTTCGTTATCAAAACCCAGGTGCACAAAGCACAAGACTGTTGTTTGCTGTCATCCAAATGGCTCCAACCCACGATGACTCGACGTGTGACAGGATGAGGTGCTGGCCTGTCCGGCACCACCTTCCCAATCCTTGGCACGTGTGAGGTTACTGCTGCAGCTCCTCTGAGTGTATTTCAACCGAGGGGACTCTTCTCCAAGGACTGCATACAGCAATCATTTGTGGAAAGAGATCACCAGGTCTTTCTTGCTAGTTTATCTTCTATCCTAGAAGCTCCACTGAGTCCTGTTTAATATAGGAAACCCTAGTGGTACCTGAAATACCAGTGGCCTACCTTTCTGCATCACAGGAGCACACAGGTCAGCAGCACACTGCCTCTGGTTGACAGAAGCAGGAGTCTGATACATTAACCACTCCTAATTTCTCTTCTGACATGCAGCGGGGACTAGCAGTATTCACATACTAGTACAAATAAAATTCCAAGGAGGTTGTGAATCATCGGGTCGGGCTGAACCATGGGCTGACCTTCTGGCAGCTTTTCAGACAGTTAATCGCACGGGAGGAGACGGCCCATTTTTCTTCTGCTGAGCAGTTGGTGGATTCAAACCACGTACCTTTGGAACGGCAGTGCAGCTCTTACCACTAGGCCATAGATTTTTCATTTCACTTCACACTACACTTGTGTTTTCCTTGATATAAAAATACTATTTTCCTAAAACACTTCAGGAGCATTAGCAGCTCAAGAAGTAGTGCTGTGTTCACTTTGGGGCCTGTGGCACCCACAGAGGTTCCCTAACCCTCCATCAAACCGAGGCCTGACGAGATAGGTCTGAGGACTCAGTAAAGATTAAGTCCGGACCTAGACTCTTTCTAAAAATGTTACGGAAATGTGTAATCTCATTTTGTCTTCATAAACCTCCTGGGAGGTAGGCAATCTTTCCTGAATGTAAGGTAATGAACCCAAGGCACAAAGCAGTGGTGTAACAAGATCACGGAAGCAGGATGAAGAAGAGCTGAGATTTAAACCAAAGTAGCCAGACTCCAGAACTCATACTCTAAGCCTTATCTAATGCTCTTATCTAACCCAAGACTAAACTCCCTTTTAATGGATTAATCCTGTGAACATTAAAAGTTGGATTCTGGTCAATCCCCTCTCTTTAGTCAACCTTATTTAAGCTGTTAATTCTTTCTAGTAATTTCTATTGGTTAATTTTGGTCCAAAGTCTGACTGGAAGAATTTGATTCCTTAGTGTGTAATGTTTGTTGACTTCACGGTGAGTGCACTGTATTTATCTTTTTTTTTTAAATAAAAATAAACAGTTATCAAATGTTTTCTGCTTCATTTACAGCCAGGAAATAAATATCTAGGCTTTCATTATTTCTAGAAAAGCCAAAAAAATACCAATTTGCTGTGTGTGGAGACATACTGTTTATTTCTTGGTCCATAAGCTTCAGAAATAATCCCATTACCATTCAATGGAGCAGGAGAAGGAACACTAGATTACTCGGAGATTCTAGAATTTACTCCTAATCCAGGTCCAACAGACCTGGGTAAAACTGATTTCTCAGCCTCTGGCATCTATGTAAAATAAGGAGGTAGGACTAGATATCTAAGGACACTCTTAAATCTAACATTCTATGAGTTAGCAGTCCAAGAATGTTTTTAATCTTCTAAGTATTTTAAAAAATAAACTCCTATTGGGAGGGCATATGTAGAGAAAAAGGAGTCACTTCTACAGCTCCTCTCTTTCCTTCCAAGAGCTGGCACTTAGGCACAGTGGTTGTTAGGAAATACTTGAGTATTTGAGTAAGGGAAGGACTGTAATATCCTCATTCCAAGGGGAAAGGAAATGTGTTATGTATATTAAGATAGCATAAAATTAAAGCACCAAATCTGAAATAAAAAGAACAAGCTATGACTGGTTGTTTAGGCCTCTTGTGGTCATTTTTCTCTTCTGAGAAGCATAGCTGTAAAGTACAGCTAACGTCAACCATGCCAAGCTTTTCTTTCAAAAGACACGTTTTATCTTCCAAATAAATGGATAACAGCAATAGTCTCCCTTCAAAAGCCAAATCATATGCTTAAGATACAAAACCATGCTTTGACTTGCTGGTTGCTGTCAAGTAAGTTTTCACTCATGGCGCTCCATGTGTACAGAACGGAACCCTACCGAGTATATACATTTCCCAAGGTCTGTGACTATAAAACCTTTCTTCAGAGAGGCCTCAGGGTAGGTGTGAACTGTCAACTTTAATGATTAAATGTTTAACTTTTTGCACCACCCAGAGACACCATGTAGTAACTAATAAAACTGTTGACCGTTGTTTAGAAGATAGATGTGGACAATTCCCCTCCTCTTCATGAGTGTCAAGGAATCGTAACAAGTACTTTTCCCCCCGTCTCAGCACTCAAAGATACTCCAAGGTATTTCCAAGGATTTAGCTGCCTAGTTTCCATGAGCTTCGTATGTGTTTTGATATGTTAGCATCTTTTGGAAGCATCACAAAGTATCCCTCTCAACAGTGTCTTAAGGATGACAATGCTTCATGCCAATTTTGACCCCCTTCGAAGGAGGCGGTGTGACTGCAACAGACCTCAGAGAGGCACAGGGAACATTCTGGCTATAAGTGAAAACAAAACTTACCTCTTCCTTTTACATAATCTTTTATTATTAGACATTTAACATACATTCACTCTGCATGATTAGAAAGCATAAGCAAGCAGAGGAAAACCACTCAACATTGCACTATCGCGTGATATCCACTGGTAAGAGGTTCATACCCCTTCATTTTCTGTTTTTCATTAGCTAATTTCTATCTGGTTTTTAAAATTTAATATTCTGGGGATATTTCCTGTATAATTTATAGGTTTACCAGGAGCTCTGCTGGCCTAGTAGCAAGAAGCTGCACTAAAATCCTGAAGGGATGTGGTTCGAGTCCACCAGCTGCTCCCTGGGAGAAAAATAGGCAATCACCTCCTGTGCGATTAACTGACTCTGAAACTCACTGGAGGGTCAGCTATGTGTTGGTTCTGACTCTATGGTACTCAACAGCAACAATTTATAGGTTATTCTGAAATATCTTTTTCAATGACAGTATCAGAGTCCCTGGATGAGACAAACAACAGTTAGATGTTCAGCTAATGGAAAGGCTAAAGTTTCAAATCCACCCACAAGCAATTCAGTAGAAAGGGCTGCTGGTGGTCTTTGGAAAGATCCAGCCTGAAAACCTATGGAGTGAAGTTCTGTTCCCAAACACACAGGCTGCTCTGAGCTGGAACTGACTCAGCAGGTTTTCGCATTCCAATGAACAGCTGCATTACAGCACACTGAATCAGCCTGCCTTGCTGGAGTTTGGGGAGGTGTGTGACACTATTTTGAGAGGAATTTCTCTCAGTCCCTAATGCATCTTTTCCATGTCCTCATACCCCCACCAAAGTACTGCAGCACAGGCTCCAACTGTCTAGATGCGGAAGGTGCCCTCTGCTCCCTCTGCAGGGTCAGTACTTACCTGGCAGCAGGGCGAGGCGGCCAGGATGTCGTAGGTGTACATGGTGCCCAGCTGGTGCCAGCTGCCATCCCATCGGGACTTGCACTTGATGCAGATGATCTTGTGCACGCCCTCCAGGCAGTCCACACACACTGCGTACAAGTGCATGAGTCTCCCTGTGCACAGAAGACACAATGCTGATAATGGCCATCGTGGAAACCATGGTCTGCTTCCAAAGGGGACAGAATATGTCCCATCTATCAATCATAAACAAACATTTTATCATATGGACAAATGTAAAAAATCAAAATAGGTATCTGCCACAAATCTCAAAATTATCCTTTTAAAATATGGAATTACTATTGTCAAGGAGATATACAGGGTTTTGTTTACTTCTCCTACAAGTACTTTCATAGGTTTAGAGTATGTGCACAAAGATTCAAATGAACAATTCATACAAATGGAAAACCAGAATGTGACAATGAGTGTCCAGAGGTCTACAGACAGCATACTGGGGCTGGAGCACTCCATTAGTCTGTAGCTGTGGATTCTCACCCCCAGAATATAGATGAACACAGAGAAGTAGGGTGAAGAGAGGGTTCCACTAACAAGAGAACAAAATGAAGGTCAGAGGAATCGAGGAAAGATGTAGCTTTTACACTTTGTTCTGACAAGTCCAATCATAAAAGAGTCAAGTCTAGCTTGGTATTGATAGCCCAGAATTATACCACAGCCCAAATTACTATGTTAACTGCCTTGGTCCCCACAATTGCATGCCCATCACCACATCTAATTTAGGAACCAGAATTATATCTTACTTGTAAGTGGTTTTATAAAATGAGTTCACTGTCAGGTTCTTTACTGGGCTCTTGAAAAAAAATCACATAGTGTGGCCCAACTCCATTCCTCCATTATTTTATCAGCATCTCAAGATGCTTATAAAAGATAAAGTGCATTTATATGGAAGGATCAGGGTTCAAATAATCCCAGCAGAGTGAGAATGTCCAGGACCACACTGCGGGATATTCAACAGCAGCAGCAATATTCCCTCTGTGGGACCAGAGGGCCGTGCTGTGTTCAAAGCTACCATCAGAACACACACGCCAAAGTGACCTGCTTCAGGATGCTCAGTGCCACCGTCAGACTGTGGTACTTGTCAGAGATACGGACTAGTCTGTATTTGACCTATTAAAAAAGGGTATGCGGCACTGACAGGGAAATCTTGTCCTTCACTGGCTTCCATGACTCGCGCTCCTTCCTTGAAGGAAGCAGCCTTGCAGCCTCACCGTCCAGTCCAATGTTTGGGATGTGGAGGGCACTCTGTAAGTGTACACTGCATAAACAGATGGGAAATGTTAACAGCCAAACACAGAACAAACTGGATACCTCTATGCCCAAAATAGAAAGAGTGGCCAGAGCTTGCTGGCAATACTGCCCATCCCTGCTCTAGGGCACTACGAGTCCAATCTCCTCCCACATGTATTCACTGCAATTTTCAAGTGTTCAAAGAGACACAGGCTGCTGTGAAGGAGAGTGGGGGCAGAGGCTGCACTAGAGGTCAGAGGCTGACGATGATGATGATGTGATGATGACAGGTGACTTTCACCAAGTGTGTGCCAGGGCTGTGGCACTGTGCTAACGCTCATATAACACTCATAACAACCCTACAAAGTAAGTACTGTTGTTATTTCCACTTCAGACACAAGCCATTGAAGTAGAGAGAGTTTAAGTAACTTATTCAAGTTCAAAGAAACCATAAGTGGTAAAGCCCAGACTTGAATTTGTATCTGTCTGACTCTCAGCTTTCAGGCAAATGCATGAGACCTCCTGTCCTAGACAGTCTCTAGATTTGTTTCAACTTCTATTACACACTATAAAAAATACAGAGAATTTCACATTTCTAAATGCTACAGTTGTGAGTTCAAGTACAATGCATTCAATGTGATGAAGCCCACTAAGAACTTACCAGTTAGAGCTTAATATATTAGTAACAACAAAGCTACATCTTAAAGGAAGAATTAGAACTGGGGCTGGGGCTGGAGAGGAGGGAGGTGAAGAGGGAAGGGGAAAGGAGAATAATCAGTATCAACATGATTCACCCACAACAACAGGCATTATTTCAGCTACATATACGTAGCTGCACTGTTGAATCCTATAGCCTGGACACGGTCATTAGTTAAAATGCTTTAGCTAATTCACAGGACACGATGATCGAAGGAATGATTTGCACTACTTTTCTATTAATAACACTATGTACGATATCGTATGACAAAAGAACACAGACACATGGTTACGGCCTCATTATCGGGCACTGATGAAGAATGATTTCTCTGACAGTTAAAACATGCTGTTCTTCAGAAGATTTTAGAATAGTCACACTTCAGGTAACACCCTTGTAACATACTAGTAACACTCTCCCATTATATATGCATGTACGTGTTTATATGTGTACACATACACAACTCAAGGCTTTCTCTCTTTTTCCACCCACTTCCTGACTTATATGTGCCCTCAAATATTGTTGGCCTTATGCTCTATCATATGCTCTTTCTTTTCTTTTGTTGGTCTCTCTCCACTCACTACTTCTTGGCCTTCATTCTAAGTCTATTTCTAATAGTGGTCACTATGTATATCCACATGAGGTTCAATTCCCCACCCCCACTCCCCCGCCCCAAACGCCTCCACCTTCTCTGTACAATCAGGGAGGTTTTCCGTTTCCATTGACAGCATCACTTCTCTGCTCTAAAGCAAGCTGAGGCGACAATGACTCTCAGCCTGTAGACATCCCTAAGCTAGAACAGTTCTTTTAAAAATACCAGATATCTGTGCTCTCAACTTCCATCATCACCCCCTACCCACCCTCTACAGTCTTATCTCCTTGTAGCTAGACTACAATATTCACACCCACTGCCCTCTAGTCAGAAGTGAGTCATAGCTGACCAGCCAGTGTTTGCAGAAGCTGTAAATGTAATGGGAGGAGAAAGCCCATCTTTCTCCCACAGGGGATTTGGTGGATTCAAATCCCCTACTGTTAACAGGTTCACGTCCTACCCACTAGGCCACCAGAGCTCCTTCTAAATTACAAGGTAGTGGTGGTGGTGGTGGTGGTTAAGTCAGAAGTGACTCATAGTTGACCCTCCAGCAGGTTTCCAGAGGCTATAAGTCACAGGGAAAGAACTGTTCACCTTTCTTCCACACAGCAGCTGGTGGGTTTGAACCACATGCTTTTAGGCTGGTAGTGCTACTCCTTACCACGATGCCACCAAAGCTCTGAGGTTCAATTCTCTGGGTCTAGGCTCTTTCCCTTTCAAGTAGCTTTATCTTCTGCTTTAAAAACCAATTTTAGAAGTCTCAAAATGGCAAATATTATATAATTTTGCAATAATAACAGGAACCTCTTCCCCCTCCCAAAAAGAACCTAAAGTTGCCAGAATCATTTAACAACATCCACACACTGGATGCTCAGTGAGATCCTGGTATCAGATGGATCCTGGCTAAAAGCAGAGAATACCAGAATGGATGTTTACTTGTGTTTAACTGACTTTGTGGATTTGCATCTGCAGACCATATTATGTTATGTATAACTGAGAAGAACAGGAATTTCAGTACACTTAATACACTTAATTATGCTCATGTGAAATCTGTACAGACACCAAGAAGTAGTCATTTGAAAAGAACAAGAAGATACTGCATAGTTTAAAATCAAGTAAAGAGTGCATCAGAGTTGGATCCTCTCTCCGTATCTATTCAACCTGTATGCTAAGCAAATAATTTGAGAAGCTAGATTATATGATAAATATGGAATCAGGCTTGCAGGAAGATCATCCACAACCTGCATTATGCATACGATACAACCTTCCTTAAAGAAGACTTGAAGCATTTACTGAATATCAAAGACTACAGCTTGCAGTATGGATTAGACCTCAAGATCAAGAACAAAAAAATGAACTCAGCAGATAAACTGACAATATCAGAAAGATGTTTACTTGTGTTTTATTCATTATGTAAAAGAATTTGATTGTGTGGATGAAATGAGTATGGATAACACTGTAAAAATTCCAGAACATCTAACTGTGCTCACACAGAATAGACAAATAAGCAGTCATTCAGACAAAGCAATCGGATACTGCATGGTTTAATATCAGAAAAGGTATGAATCAGGGTTTCCACCTTTCACTACACCTTGTCAGCTTGAATGGCTGATCAAAGCATCCCAGAAACTAGATTATGTGAAGAAGGATGTAGCAGAACTGGAGGAAGACTCAACAATCTGTGATACACAAATAAAACAACTCTACTTGCAGAAAATGAAGACCTGAAGCACATATTAATGAAGCTTGGACATATAATTCAATATAGGTTATACCTCAACATAAAGAAAACAAAAACCCTCACAAATGGACCAATAAACAACAACATGATAAATGAAGAAAAGACTGTCAACAACTTCAGTTTGCTTGGATCTACAATCAGCACCCAAGGAAGCAGCATCAAGAAATCAAAACAGGTACTGTTTGGGGCAAATCTGCTGCCAAAGCCCTCTATAAAATGCAAGGATATTAGTTTAAAGACTAAGGTGCATCTGACCCAAGTCATGGTATTTTCAATTAGCTCAAGTGAGCATGTGCAAGTTGGACATAATAAAAAGGAAGACTGAAGAAATTAAGCCTTTGAGTTTTGTTGTTAGCAAAAGATACTGAATATACTGTTGACAGACAAAAGAACAAATGCATCTTAGAAGGGACGCCAAAACACTCTTTAGAGGCAAGGATGGTGGGACTCTGTCTCACACATTTTGGGCATTTTATGAGAGGCCATTCCCTGAAGAAAGCAAGCATGAGCAGAAAAATAGAGGTCAGCAAAAGATCCTTAATGAGATGAGTTGACATGGCAATGGACATAAGCACAACCAAAGACATGAAGATGGTGAAAGGCTGTGCTGGGCTTAATTTTACTGTATACAGAGTCTTTATGAGCTGGATCAAACTCTATGGCCACCTAACAACAACAAAACAATGATGAAAGAGAAAGATTGATCCTTTTGTTATGTACTCTAAAATACCCAACACATGAAATCTCTAAAGTACTGAATGCTGTAAGGACCGTATGATGGATAGATGAATTAAATAATGTCTCCATCAAGAATAAAAGAACACCACCAAAACTTGTAAGTACTCTGAACTCATGTTCCTTCACTCATCTTCATAAAGAGTATCTTGAGTTTTAAGGTATTCAAGCAAAGCTGTTTCCTTTCTAAAACAGGCTTTCAACAAGCAGTATAAAGAACAATAAACAAAACACAAACTCTACCTTCCATGAAACTATCAGGAATTTCTGAACCAAGATATAGGTCATCTCAAAGTCGATAGAAGAATGGTAAATGGTTTAGCCCTAAAACTGAACAGGAAGCACCAAAGGTGGTAAGGTGAATCACTGAAGGGGAAACACTGTACATCATAAAGAGACACTATACATCATAAAGAACTATGAGGTCTATATAATCCTTCTCATCCAGAAGCAGAGTCTATTAGCATTGAGGCTCACTTCATTAATAGAATGTGACAGAAGGGATGCTGACAGTTTTACATTCGAAGCTCTAGAAGCCTTGCTATTTCCACTTCTTTGCTCCTGAATTCTGTCCTGAGAACGTCATCAGAGCTAGCCCACTAGAGGATGAACGACCACACAGCGCAGAGTTGGGCCATTTGAGCTGAGGCCTCCGAAACCAACTAATCTGCTGACAGACTTGTGCAAGACCATTTTAACCACCCCACTGCAAGTGTGACAGCCCGGATCAGAATTACAAGACCCAATGACTGAACTGTTACAAATATTTTCTGTTTTAAGCCACTAAGTCTTACACAGTATTATGCTCTGCTAAAAGGGTTTTCTTTTCAATATAGAATGAAATAACATTTTACAAAATGAATGATAAAACTTCTGCAAGTTTAGCTTCCTCACCCTGCCCAGAATTTTTTAAAAAAGGGCAGGAAATTTTAAGTATGGCATTATAACTAAGGGCATTAAAAAACTGTAATTAATCTAAAACAGAATGCTTATGAGTGACTGAATGAAAATGAATATGACTATAAATTTTCAAACCAAAAAAAGGGGAGGGGATTATACATGAGGCAGAACCAGAATGTTAAAAAGAGTTGTAGATGTTGTTGTTGAGGTGTACTGTCGAGTGGAAACCAAGAGTCATAGCTGACTCTCCAGCGGGTTTTCCGAGGTAGCTAATCACACGGGGGGAGACTGTCCATCCTTCTCCCACAGAGCACGTGGTAGATTTGAACCGCGTGCCTTCAGGATTGCAGCACAGCATCTGGCCACTCAACAAATATATTGGAAAATAAATGCCAATGAAAATATTTAGAAGGCGGATTAAGATCATGATATGGACTCAAAGCCAAATCAACTGCCATCAAATCAATGCCAAACAACAAGACTAAAAATGTTTTGGGTTTGTTTTTTTTTAAATTGTCTTCTACAGGGGACCATTCTGAAAGTCCCAATATCTATTCAATAGATTAACATCTTATTAGTAGGACATATTGAATGGGATTTATCTGTGGCAAAAGACATCTTTCAGCACCAAGAAGCACCTGACTCAAACCATGGTATTTTAATATGCATGCAGAAGCTGGACAATAAATAAAGAAAACTGAAGAACTGATGCCTTGAATTATGGTGCTGGTTAAGAATATCCAATGGCTTGCCAGCACAAGAAAGAAATGTCTTGGAAGAAATGCAGAAAGACTGTTCCTTAGAATTGTGAAACTTTGTCTCATGTACTTTCTACATGGCTACTAGGGGAGACTAATCTCTGAAGAAGCCTATTATGCTTGGTACCGTGTCAATAAAAGAGGCTTGCAATGAGATGGCTGACACAGTGGCTGCGGCAGCGACCCGAGAACAGTACAGGACTAGGTAGTGTTCTCGTCTGTTGTACACAGAGTTGCTATGAGTCGGAACTGATTCAACAGCACCTAACAACATAACAACAATCTAAAAACATGATGGCTGTCTCTAACCCCTAGTTTCCTTCCTGCTCTGTTATGCTTACCTACATCAAAAGAACACACACTCTTCCATATACTTAAGTTTCAACAGCAACCATTTCATAGCAAGTAACACAATTAAGCAATTCTTTCTGTAAATATCCTCCCAATTTCCAAAACCCCCCAACACACCAACATCCAGACATCAAGCAATCCTCTTTTCTAATTACAGCAGCAAAAATACAGAATCACCCAGTAGAACAACTGGACTTGATATAATGACATCAAATACAAAACAAACCAAAACACAATTAACACGGCCATGACATCACTCTGTGGTGCTTACGGTCACCCAGCACTGCCTAAAACAAAGCAGCAACAGTTAAAATTCAACCAGAATAAAGTCATTCCCTCTTGTTTGCACTTTGATTTCTAGCAAAGAAAAAGCAGGCAAGGTGAATGGACACCTATACCTTGAAGGTGACAAGGAACATCATATTCAATCTCATCGTGTCTCGACGGACTCAGGAACAGAGTTCCGTCCACGAGTGGGAACTGTTCGAACACCGGGAGTGCGCGGTGGCACAGGGCACAGTTCACGACGTTTCGGTGGCTGGCACTGAGGGCGGCAAGGATGAACTTGCGCAGGTCCTCGCCCTGGCCCACCTGCGCGTCGTCTTCCATCCGCACGTGGAAAGTGTTCAGCTTATGTCTGGGGATGTGCGTGAGCAGCTCGGAGAGGTCGAGGCGCCGCAGGAACTGCACTGGGGCATCAAAGTGGCCCCCTCTGTGGACCGCCAACCCCGCGGGGCTGTAATCAAAGTGGGCGTTTCGGAACACGTGGCCCCCAGCCATGGCCTTCTTGTGAGGCTCCAGGTGTATGGCGTTCTTCAGGAACTCCCCCAGGTACCTGGAGGAGCGGGGCCCGCTGAAGTGGGCAGGGGAGAGGATGGAGTAGCCCGTGGGTGGGGACTGGCCAGGCGAGGCGCAGGGGGAGCGGGCGCCGTAGGGCGCAGCGCCCACGGCTTTCTCCTGCGAGTTCTGCCGGTCCATGGAGTGGCGCCGGGGGAGGTCGTGGTTCAGGCCTTTCTGGGGCTTGTTCTGGGGCCTGCACTTTTTCACCTCCTCCCCTGCCTCGCCCGGGGGCTTCCCTGCGTTCTTCTCCGACCCTGATTTCTTCTTCTTCTCGTCCTGCATCCGCTTCACCTGGTACCAGTCCGTGTCCTTCTTTAAGTGGCCTTGTCCGCAGCGGCAGGAGCAGAAGCGGAAGGCCAGGTCGTAGCCCTTCTTTGTCCACATGTTCTGGCGGCACTGCTTCTCGTTCCAGCTGCGCGCGCGGCCGATGCAGTTGAACTGGACGAGGATGCTGCTCTCCCACTCGTAGAAGCACTGCAGGTGCATCCAGGTGCTGTGCGGGCAGTGCTCGTTGTTACACACCACCTTCTGGTAGTCGTCCTTCTCCAGGTCCACCGGGCGCCCGAAGCTGCAGATCAGGGGCGTGGCACACGGGGCTTCTGAGGAGGAACAAAGACAGCCGGCTTAGCACCTCAATACCGGGACTGCAGTCCACCCCAGTTCAGAGACCCACCCCTGTTCAGAGACCCAGGCTTCCAGCCCCCGCTCAGCTCATACACACCAAGGGTCCAAGCTTTCTGGTGTCAAGAGGTCTGTGGATCACCAGCACAGACAAGACTAGAAAATATATGCTATTTTCTTCTCGTGTGATGTTGTGTCAAGGGTATCTATTTCCCCAATATTTATTAAAAAACAGAAAAGCAAATCAGTAAGATTTAAAAAGTACAAATCTCTCAGAGAAAAATTATTTCCAAAAGGGTGCTACCACTACATCTGGTAGTATCTCAAAGCCATAAACCATAGAGTTTTCCTAATATACAGAAGAAAACAGACTTGCCTCATTTTTAATTCTTTTCTATAATTACTTTTATATCTAATGGCAGGGATTCTGATAAAATAACCAGTGGTCTCCACAGAGTAGAGTACCAGATTATGGGGGTGGGGGAAATCAAACCAAAACAGCAAACTCCCCCAAAGCAATGTCCTGAGAGCAGCCAGCAACAAGGTGCTGCTTCTATCTTATGTCAAAACCATGCCCACCTGGAGTCCAAACTGCCAGGCAGGGTTCCAGGAAGGGAAAGCAGGAGGACACTCATTTCTTAAAAGGTAAACCTGGACACTAGCTCTCAGTGAGAACCGAGTATCTGAGCTCAGGACTCACAGATAAAACTATCAGACAGACATTGTGCCAAGTTTCACCTGCATTAGTAAGAGCTCTCTAATCACGGACCACTTATTTCACTGATTCCACCTGATTTCCTCAGTGGCAAATGAGCAGAACTGTAATAGATATTATAGATACCTCCAGGCCTTGGAGAAGGACATCATGCCTGGAAGGATAGAGGGACAGACCAGGAGACAAAGACCCCGGATGAGATGGACTGACACGGTAATGGGGGTAGGTGTGTTAAAGAGAGAGAGACAGGCTCAGGATAGGGAAGGGTTCAGAGATATTATGCATAGGGTTGGCTAAGAGTCACGGAGGACTCAATGGCACATAACAACAATTACAGATATTAGCAAAACACAAAAATGTTGCTATTGTTCCTGCCATTATTTGAAACTTTATGTTACAGCTAGAAGAAACTGTATAATGAGGTAGTTGTGGGTCCAAACTCAAGACGGAAAAATTATGTGGGGCCAGAACTAGGGGCCTTAACAGCAGGGAGTGCAGAAATGGAAGAGAAGAGATACAGACGGGTCCCAGGAAAGAGATGCCAGGCAGTGCCCTAGACCCAAACTTGGAGTATCACTTATGGGGAGGGTGGTTTGAGTGGGGTCAACAGGCAGGGATGAGAAGGACACAAAGACCAATGCCACTAACCAGCCCTTCAGTTGGAGGATGTGGTCAAATTTTCCCTGCTTTCCTACAATTTTTAATAGAACTGACCCTACCCTGAAGTTCCTCTTTCACTTTAGCACTATTATATTATTATCATCTTGGCTTTCTGGCTTTTCCTCCAGATAATTGCTTTCTGTTCATGAAATACTTCCCAGGGCTAGGGCACTGGCATTATCTTCTTTACTTTGGGGGGCAGGAGCTTAAAATTAAAAAATGTGTATTTCTTAATGGAAACAAATGAGGATTAAGGTGTACCAGACTCAAGTCATAGTATTTTCAACTGCCTCACATGCATGTGAGAGATGGACAATGAATAAGACATACTGAAGAATTTATGCTTTGGAATTAATGTCAAAGGATGAACAAATTTATCTTGGAAGAGGTGTAGCCAGAGTGTTCTTTAGAAACAAGGCCAGTAAGACTTCATCTCCTATTACGTGAACAAGCTATCAGGAGGGACTAGTCAGTGGAGAAGGACAGCATGCATACTTGGTAGAGGCTCAGTTGAAGAAGAAAAGTATCAATGAGATGGACTGACATATTGACAACAGATTCACACAATTGTGAGGAGGCTCAGGATAGAGCAGTGTTTTATTCTATTATACAAGAGATCACTACGAGTCGAAGCTGACTCAACAGCACCTAATAACAACAATGGGGTATTACTATTATTCAGACTCTACTTTGAAGGGTGGAATTGTCTGGTGCATTTTAATAAATTAGTATCCCTGGACCCTTGACACAAAATATCTGTCTCTCCACACTACCTTCCTCACTGTGGTAACTTTAAAAGTTCAACATTTCTAAGGGAGCTCTGGTGGCCTAGTGGCAAGAAGGTGCACTACAATCCCAGAGGTACGTGGTTCAAATCCACCAGATACTCTGCTGGAGAAGGAGGGACAATCTCCTCCTGTACCGGTCAAATCTAATTTGATGGTACACATACAAAGAATTTAAAAAAATAAAAAAGTTCAACATTTCTAAGCACCATATTTCCTTTTTTTTTTCAAATTACTGAGGAGCAATGATGTCAGTTTGAGGATTAAGGTGTGCCTGATTTAGACCACTTCCTTTTTAATCACTTCCTAGGCACGTGAGAGTTGAGCGATGAATAAGGGTGGCAGAAGAATTGATGCCTTTGAGTTGTGGTTCTGGAGAAGAGTATGAGTATCCCATGAACTGCCAAAAGAACAAAAATACATCTTGGAGAAGGTGTACCCAGAGTGCTCCTTAGAGGCAAGGATACTGACGCTTCATCTCACATACTTTGGGCATGTTGCTAGAAAAGGCTATTCCTCAGAGGAAGACAACATGCTTGGAAAGGTGGAGGGAATCAAAATAGAGGAAGACAGACACTGTGACTACAGCCATGGGCTCAAGTGTCAGAGATTGTGAGGATGGTACAGGATAAGACAGGGTTCAGATCTGTTGTTCATAGGGTCGCTAGGAATCATACTTGACAGAGGCTAACAACAAAAAGAAACCCTTCTTTTGGAGGACACTGACTAAGGATGATAGAAGAACAATCGATGCCTTTTAGATGTAGTCCTAGAGAAGAGTATTCAACATGCCATGGACTACAGGAGAACAAATAGGTCTGTCTTGGAGAGGGTGAAAACAAGGTTCTCCTTGGAGGCAAGAATTTTGAAGCTCATTCTCACATACTTTGGGCATGTTGCTAGAAGGAACCAGTCTTTAGAGAAGGACATCATGCTTGGAAAGGTGGAGGGACAGCAAAGGAGAGGAAGACCCTGGATGAGATGGACTGACAAAGTAACTGAGGTCATGGAGATAGGTGTGTCAGAGGCAGTAAGACTAGCTCAGGATAGGGCCAGGCTTCAAAGCTGTTGTACAAAGGATTGCTATGAGTCTCCGGCAACTCAATGGCACGTACAACAACTATCCCCAGTAGAGAGTACTTGGCTTAAATTAAGAAGCTTTATGTGCCACCCACAGGAATCTGGACGTTTCACGGTATGGATAATAAGCCAAAGGAGAACAACACACTGTAGGCTCCTGCAGTCAGATTTCTGCTTCAGACGGCTCACCCTAGGGTCAGGATGAGGTATGAGAATGGAGCCAGCTGGCAGGCCAGGTGGAGGGAGGTGCAATCACAAAAGTGAGAAATTATGAGACCGAGGTTGGCTCAATTCTTAAGGCATTTGCACTGCTAACCCAAGAGCCTTGCCTTCCACTGATATGACTCTACCACGCAACTCTTTGAGAGAAAGATGGGCAGTCTTCTGTTGTGATTTAGGCTTAGAAACCCAGTGGAGGGTCTTATGAGTGAGGCCAACTCAAGGTTTAGGAGCAAGTTTGGAATGAGCTGCTGAAGCAGTATACAGTGGCTCAGGGTTCCTCAGGGTAAATACTAATAATGGATGGTGTTAACAGGAGAGGCAAGGAAGAAAGGAAAGCCTATGAGCTGGCCCTAGTTTACACTTGCTCAGTTGGAAATACTCAGGCAACATGGAATTGGAAATGGACAATACTGGAGCGACTCTTATAACAAAGACAAACAACCCAATTTTAAAATGGGCAATGCATTTAAACAGACATTTCTACGGACATTTTATATAAAAGGCAAGTCAAGATGCCACGGAAATGCAAAAAAACCAAAACCACAATGAAGTACTGCTTTACACATGCTAGACCAGCTATCAGAAAAAGAGGCACGTGGGGAAACTGGAAAAACCTCTTCACTGGGGATGTAAAATGGTGTGTCCACAATGGAAAACACTTTGGCAGTTCTTCAAAAAGTTAAGTACAGAATTGATATATATGCGCTTACAATTCCACTCCCGAGTTTCTGCCCTCGAGATCTGAAAGCAGGCCCTCTCACACACAAAGTTGCTGGGACAGGATAATCCTCGGAAAGGTAGAGGGTCAGTGAAAAAGATGAAGACCTTCGACGAGATGAACTGACACAGTGATGGCAGCAACGGACTCCAGTGTGTCAGAGATGATGAGGATAGTACAGGACAGGCCAGGGTTCAGATCTACTGTTCATAAGGTCCCCATGAGTCATACTTGACTCAACGGCACTGAACAGCAACAAAAAAGTTATCACAGAGAAGCTAAAGCTTCAACTCATCTCGTCCCTAATTCTTATCACCAATGGCAGGGACATCATTGCTCTTTAGTGCTTTGAATAGGTCCCTGACAACAGTTTACACACTAAGGTACACTTGACCCCAGCCACGGTATTTTCAATTGCTTTGTATGTATCTGAAAGTTGAACAATGAATAGGGATGACAGAAAAATCAATACCTTTGAATTAGTGAAGAGTACAGAACATACCCATTGACTGCCAAAAGAACACACAGGTCAGTCTTGGAGCAAGTGGAGCCAGGGTGCTCCTTAGAGGTAAAGATGGAAAACACGTTACCAAGAGGGAGAAGTCCCTGGAAAAAGGAATGATGCTAGGAAAGAGAGGGTCAGAGAGAGAGTGAGAAACACTCTCAACGAGGTAAGAGACCATGACTGCAGCAATGGGGTGGGCTTGGGAGAGACTGTGAAGATGGGACAGGGCAGGGAAAGGTTCAGATCTTTTGGTCACAATGAGTCACAGTCAATTCTAACACACCTAACAACAA